CCAGCTTGTGCTGTTCTGCGGCAGAGCAGACATGTCTGGCGGTATGAGATCCCACAGAGCTATGAAGTCATGTGTTACCAAGCCACAGGAATCAGGCTCAGTCTGTTTCATCCACTTCTCTAAACCCTGACACTTCTCTGGTCCAACAACAAATCTCTAATGCATGGGGGGGCACACAAAGATGTTCTCCTGTCTTTGTTACCCATGCCACCCAATCAGATTCCACAAGATTTTCTTTTCTGCAGAGCAAGTGAAAAAAATATATTTTTTAACTGCTTGGTATGAGAAAAAAACTGATAAATACTGTTGAAACTGAATTCCAGGTATTGATTTTATAACAAAGCTACATTGGTCCAGCTTGCCATATATTGATCAGTTTTTTCAATCATCAAAGAACTAAACAGATTTCCCCATCCACACAAGCGAGGTTGATGGGGAAATCCTCTCCAGCTGATTAGCTGCAGTGCTGATCAAAAAAAAATTGACAAATAAGCCTGTACGTGAGAAGTTGATCATTACAGCGACTTCTCATGAACAGAAGCAACTATAGCGGAACAGAAACTAGCACCCTCCTAGGAAAGCTGGGGGGGGGGGGGGGGTAGTTTATTTTTTTTTTGTCAGAGGCTGAATAGCAGCCTGGTGCAATAGTCAGAAGGTCAGATTTGGGTCAGGGCTGAGAAGCTCTGCTGATCAGCTCTCTCAAAACCTTGGAGAAGTATCTAGAACTCAGTAGACGGGGGTGAGGAGTGGCTGGTCTGTATACCTAAATGATCTCAACCAATCCCCACGCAGGAGGCTTGGCAAGGGGTTGGGACAGCCTGTAGGCATAGCTGAGCTTGCTCGGTAGCAGAGGAGAGTTTGGGTGGAAGATGAGAAAGTAGAAGCTGGAGAGTGGAGCCTGTGAGGAGGCCCAGGGAAGGGGCCTACCTCCAGGAGAGCTGCTGACAGGAGGAAACATGAACCTCGCCAGGACCACCTGTGCAGCTAAGGAAGGAGACCTGAAAGCAGCTTACAGATGAGGGACAATAAATACTTCTACACCCCCTGGATGGGAATACGGGAGAGCGCATTTGCATGGGAAACCTGACTAGCCACAGATGGACTAAGCTTTTTAAGAGTTGGATTCTAGATCCCCTTGTTCTACATCAGGAGAGGCTGGATAGCTCTTCATGAAGAGAAGAAAACCCCTCTAAGCTTCAGGAAGTTGTCCTCAGTTAAACTGTTCCTTGGACATCCCGTGTATCCCTCATCCACATCCAAGTTCAAATCGCCTAATAAAATCCAAAAAAAAAAAAAAACAAGTTCAAGGACTGTTTCTTGTCTCTGGAGTGCAAGGCTGAAAGGAAATGCGTGTTGTCTGGCTTTGCAGGACTATAGGGGGACCCAAAACTCAGCAACTCCTAAGGAGGTAATGCTACATATAAATGGATTGAAATTCAGCTGGCTCTTTGCTTGGTCCATTTATGGCAAATGCCATACCTGTGGGACCACAGTAGAAGTAGAGAATGACTGTAGTAGTCCCTGCTACTTCAATGAGACCTGTGCTGAGCTACAAGGAGTCGCTCAAATGCCATGGATGCCATTCACAGAACACATTGCATTTTTCTTAATGAATGCAAGGCATTTTCTGATTGGACTAGGTGGAGAGCATGATGCCACTACCCTTCCTTTCTACCTTGTCCTTGCATTAAAATATATGTAAATCCTCACCTTGTAAAACAACCCTTGCAGTTTAAAATAGAAATGAAAGGTAAAACATTTGTGTATAGATATAAATAAAACCTTATAAACACCTTTTTTTAGGCCTCATGCACACTGGACGTTTTTACAGCTGCTTCTAGGGACATCTGCCTCTAAACTCCCCTGCATGTTAGCCTATGTGTCCATGCACACAAACTTTTAGAGGCAGAAAAAAAAACCTCTGCTAGTGTGTCCAGGAGCAACAGAGTTTGGGGACAGAAAAAAAACGCATGACACTTCTAAACACGTGTTAACGCTAGCCACTTTTAGCACTTGAGCGTTAATTCATTTCAATGGCCAGAATAAATTACTTATTCTGGCCGATGAAATGAATTAATGATGTGGATGTACAATATATATGTAAAAGCGCTGCGCAAATTGATGGCGCTATATAAGTATCTGAAATAAATAAACAAAATAACACACAAACGCTTGAGATGGCTAAATGCAGCTAAACGCATTACACACTTTTACAAGCGTCAGGCGGTTTTTCTGCTAAAATGCTGCTGCCAGGAGGAAAGGCTTCTAGGAGAGTTAGGAAAATGTCCAACATGCACGAGGCCGACCACGCCTAGGGAGAGTAGCAACAGTGCTAAACTTTCTCCATTTGTAGACAGTCTGTCGTCCCGTGGACACATGAACATCAAGGCTTTTGGAGATACTTTTGTAACCCTTTCCAGCTTCATGCAAGTCAACAATTCTTGATCTTAGGTCTTCTGAGAGCTCTTTTCTGCGAGGCATGGTTCACATCAGACAGTGCTTCTTGAAACCAGTAAACCCAAAACAGGTGTGTGTTTTTTAAGGGCAGGACAGGTGTCAGCAACACATCCAATATCATCACACTGATTGGAGTCAAGGTTGGCTCACTCCTGGCTCCAATTAGCTCTGGGAAAAGTCATTAAGCTAGGGCCTCACATACTTTTTCCTCCCTGCACTGTGAATGTTTACATGTTATGTGCAATTAAACCATGGCAACATCTAATGTTTGTGTGTATTATGTTCAGCAGACTGTGTTCTTCTATTGTTGTGACTTAGATGATGTTCGGAGCACATTTTATGCCCAATTCATGCAAAACTCCACGTAATCCCAAGGGGTTCACATACTTTTTCTTGCAACTGTATTCTGTAAGAAACAAGCAAAGCATTCTCTAAATGGGGGCCTTGCTGAGCGGACGACCCCCTGTGGTGCAAGACAGAAGGGCATTCACTTGACACAGGACCCGGAAGGCAATGGCAAACGCCATAATAGTGGTGACTTCTACAGGGATTCCATGGAGGAAAGCAAGTTTCTCTTGACTTCCTCTTCACCTGCATTACAGCTCCTTGTAGGTAGGTTAACCTTCGATTACAGACTGGGTAAGAACTGAGGGGCGTTTTTATCATTCCTTACTCTTTCCTAAATTTTGAAAAAAGTTTTGACTTTAGACATACTTTAAATGTGTACATGGGGGCAGCCATGTTTGCTTAATACATTTAGCGACTCTGCTTTCTGCTTAGTGGTTCTGTGCAATGCTTGTGCCTTGGTGATGTCCTTAGTCCTCTGCAGTCTTTAATATGTGAAACATCCACAATGCTCCTTTTAACCAGAGACCATGTGATCTAACCTTACCTAGGAGCTCAGGGATGCTTTTTTTTATTAAATTCACGAAAAGAAATAACATACATTTTTGTTGTTTTTATTAGCAGTTCCTCCATTTAATCACTTCTGCGCTGCCCTATAGCAGAAATACTGCTACAGGGCGACACAGGTGTGGAAAATCACGTATACGTATACATACGTGATTTTGCAGTTCTGGGTAGGGGGTACGTGCTGTCAGTCACCGGGTCCTGGCCGTTGATTCCCCACCAGCACCCAAGGATCTCTGAGTATTACCGATGGGGAGAGACCTATGTATAAACAACACAGATCTCTCCCCTGTCAGCTCCTGCACACTGCTTTGTATGGCTCTGCATAGCACAGCCATATAAAGCAGTGTGCCTACAGTGGAAAGCACTCTCACACAGCACACAGTGAAACAGCACACAGTCAACCCTTTGATTACCCCACATGCTAACTCCTGCTTGCCCAGTGCCATTAGTACAGTGTCAGTGCTTTTTATTAGCAATGATCACTGTATTGGTGTCACTGGGGATGTCAGTGACAGCAAGTCAGTTCCCCCCCCAGTGTCAGAATGCCCGCTGCAGTCCCACTGTCCCGCAATAAGTCGCTGATCGCCACCATTAAAAAAAAAAATTCGGTATATATACCGACATTTGTAAACTGTATAACTTTCACGTAAACCAATTAATTACACGTATTGGGATTCTTTTTAGCAAAGACATGTCGCAGAATACATTTTGGCCTAAATTTATGATGGAATTTGATATTTTACGTTTTTTTATTAGACATGTTTAATAGCAAAAAGTCAAAAATATAGTTTGTTTGTTTTTTTCAAAATTGTTGTTTTTTTTGTTTATGGTGCAATAAAATAAAAACCGCACAGACGATCAAATACCACTGGAAGAAAGCTGTATTTGTGGGGAAAAAAAGGATGTAAATTTCATTTGGGTGCAGCGTTGCATGACCGTGCAATTCTCAGTTAAAGTAACACAGCGCCGTATCACAAAAAAATGGCCCGATCAGGAAAGGGGGGTAAATCCTTTGGAGGGCAAGTGGTTAAAGTAACTTTTTGTTTTAAGTGTACTGCTCCTTTAAGGTATGATCTCAGTCACGCAAACATAAACCTCGGCGTCCCGTGCATAAACAATGTGCACATGTTTATCTACAAGAAATCTCTCTTCTTTGGAAATCGCGCACACATTTCTTTGTCCAGAGCGCAGTTAAGTTGTGCGATCACAAAGCACTTTGTGTGCGGGGTCAGCCGGTCTTGGAAGACGTTCAAGAATGGTTAATGTACTCAGCTTGTAATTGAAATTGCGGTCAGCCTTTTGTTTCTTCGCTGCAATCATCAAGTTCTTAGCGTCCGCTTTCATTTTATTTTTGGACAGGAAAGAAAAATAAGGAGATGATGGAGCAATGACAGGTCCAGCAACTGAACATGCCCCTAGGTATTTATTAGCTGTGTTTATGCTGATTTCTAGGTGAACTCCAGACAGATGTAAAATAAGCAAATGAATGCAGCTTTGTATTATTTGTTCATCATCATTATCTTTGTTACTTTTTTGAATGTCAGCAGTATTTGAATTGGTATCTGCCATTTGCAGTTCCTGGACAGCAAAGCTCAGAGATTGGAAGAGGGAAGCAGTGCAAGGATCTATTTAGTTGAGCTGCAATCAGGGGCGGACTGACCATTTGGAAACTCGGGCACTGCCCGAGGGCCCAGGGTCAGTAGGGGGCCCCATGAGATGCCACTGGTACCTTTTTCGTAGACTTTTTTGAGTTTGGGCAAGGACACAGGGGCCCCATGATCCCCTATTGCCCAGGGGCCCCATGAGTTGTCAGTGCGCCCCTGGCTGCAATACAAGGAGCATGCTAATAGAAGAAGAGAGCAGAATGACAGGGAAATGATCCCAACAGTCTGCTGCTTCTCATTTTACTGTCCATTCACAGGCTGGGGGGGGGGGGGGGATATGAGATACAAATAGCACACACAGGCACATCTGAATACATCAAAACCAGGGGCGGACTGACCATTTTGAAACTCGGGCACTGCCCGAGGGCCCGGGGTCAGTAGGCTTTTTTGAGTGTGGGCAAGGACACAGGGGCCCCATGATCCCCTATTGCCCGGGGGGCCCCATGAGTTGTCAGTCCACCCCTGATGAGACCTGTACATATTTATTACAGGTACTTATATAGCGCCATCAATTTACGCAGCACTTTACATATATATTGTACATGCACATCAGTCCCTAACCCTCAAGGGGTGTACAATCTAAGGTCCCTAACTCACATCCATACATACACATACTAGGGCCACTTTAGACAGGATCCAATTAACCTACCAGCATGTCTTTGGAGTGTGCGAGGAAACCAGAGTACCCGGAGGAAACCCACGCAGGCACAGGGAGAACATGCAAACTCCAGGCAGTAGTTCTCAGTTCTCCTCCCTGGACAGACAAGTTGTGTTCTGTCGCAGGGCTGCATAGGAATGACTGACAGATACATAAATCTTTTGGCAGGTAAAACATATATTAGAAAAAGTTATTTCAGATCTTAAAGTAATAATAAAGGCTAATTTGTTAAAAAAAATAACAAACAGCAATACTGGCACTCCTGGCTCCGCCCACCTTCAAGTGCTCCTCCTAGCAAGCACTTTGCTAGGGGGGTACTCTTGCAAGCTCGCTCCCAAGCCCTGCTGACTGTGTCCATAGACAGAGAGCCGGGCTTTGCTCCGCTCCCTCCTCACTAGCTGGGATTAACAGCAGCGGGAGCCAATGGCTTTCGCTGCTGTCCCTGATCCAATGAGGAGGCAGAGAGCTGGGACAGCAGCCGCTCTCATGCACATCGCTGAAAAAGGATTGGGTTCAGGTAAGTATTAGGGGGTTTGGGGGAAGAGCTGCATAGTGAAGGGATTTTTTTACATAGAATGCATGACAGTAAAAAAACCCTCCAGCCTTTACATCCACTTTAAGTGTTTCCTAAAAGGTATAATAGAGACACATTGCACAGTATTTGATGTGATGTCCTATATATACAGTAGTGGTAAATCTGCCCCTAAATGTTGCTAACGTAGTACCTCTAATACTAAGCCTTTTCCTGCCCATACCCTTAGCACTTAAAGCTGAATTTCACCCTAAATGGGAAGTTTCACTTTAAATTTCCCCTTTTTTAACATTATTGGTACATTATTTTTTTGGGGGGGATAACGGGTACCTAATTTTGTCAGGTACCCACTCCCACTTCTGCTGAAGATGCCTAGGCAATTCCACCAGATGATCTTTCCCCCCCACACCCTCCCCCAACTTCTTGGGACTTGTCCCAGAAGACTGCGGGGGCCATTCACAAGGCTCAGCATAATTTGCGCATGCGTAGTTGGATTCCGGAAGCCACAAGGAATCACAGCCGGCTTCCCACAGTAATTCCACTGTCAGGGACCTGAAGACTGTCGAAAGTCTGGCCAAGGCCAGGACAGTGCTGGATAGGTAAGTGTCCTTTTAATACAGTTAAGAAGTTAGTACAGTATTTGTAGCTGCTGACTTTTATTTTTTTTTTCCTAGTGACTGAAGATCCTCTTTACCTAATAAAGTACTGTGTGCCATTAAACTGAAACCCGGGTCGGATATAAAAAAACAAAGCAATGAATACATTTCTGTATTCACTAAAAATAATTACAGATTACTGATATTGACAAACGTGCTGATTTGCAATTGTTAATCGCTGTGAGCTGCAAACCTGGATAGTTGGACCATGTTGAGATTATTTTGAATATCGTCCTAGTCCCAAATTTGGTGGAGCTTTACAATCTCCATGTAAGTTATAGGGTCCTGATTACCCCTCCTGTGGCCAATCATATACCACTCTGATACCCCGGGGGACTTGAACGCTGTGTCTTTGGGTTTTGCCAGCATCTTAGAACAATTGTGGCTCAGTTTCCAACTATTTTTGCTTTGATTGGTGTGATATTCTACAGTATATCTCCTGAAGAAGCCTTAATAGGCGAAACATGTTGAGATCACTACACCATCAGAATCTACAGTAAAATTATGCTGTGAATATTTCATTCAGAATGTCTGTATATTGAAATTTTTTTTTTTTAATTTTATGGATATACTGAGTGTTTTTATAATTGATATGTAATCAATTATTACAGGTTTTATTTTTTTTCAGGTACTTATATAGCGCCATCGATTTACACAGCGCTTTACACATATATATTGTACATTCACATCAGTCCCTAACCCTCAATCGTACAATCTAAAGTCCCTAACTTACATGCATACATACACATACTAAGGCCAATTTAAACAGGATCCAATTAACCTACCAGCATGTCTTTGGAGTGTGGGAGGAAATCGGAGTACCCGGAGGAAATCCACGCAGGCACAGGGAGAACATGCAAACTCCAGGCAGGTGGTGCTGTGGTTGGTATTCAAACCAACGACCCTAGTACTGCCAGGTGGAAGTGCCACTGGATCAATAACATTTTTTTTTTTTTAATCTTACATTGTAGTACATTATTGGCAACTTAAAAATCCCAGCTCCTTTGAAGCATTTATTTTTCATAAAAATAATTAAAGTGTAGTTAAAGTGACATTAGAGTACATTTTTTAACAGATATTAATAATATAACTTACATGGAATTTCTGTTTTTTTTTCTAAAACCTTTGTCCTCTGCATTTACTGTACTTCTAAAAGTGTCCCCAGCTGCGCTCACATACTCTCCATTCTATACGTTCCCCCCTGTGCTGCCGGGTCATATGGAGTCCCGTAGCAGTCCCCTCTGTCTTGCAACTCCCACTCTATACTGCAACTGTACATGCAACGTTCCGAGCACCGCACACACAGGCAGAGTGTGAGGGACATTTTGACATTCTATACCATAAAAACAATGTGATAAAATCCAACCCAACTGTAATGCCAGATCAGTTGACCTTGGCATGGGTAGTTTTTGGCATACGGCCTGTGAGGTTTTGACACGGCTGATCTTGGTGCTGGATAAGAAGAAATTTCTGCAGATAGTATTAGTTTAGGGGTTCATTTAGAGTAGTGTTAGGGTCAAGGATAAGGGGGTTTAGTTTAAAGTGCTTGCAAACCCTTACATATACAGTACCTAATGAAGTGACTGGCCTCAGGTGATAAACAGAGATGAAACAAATCCTCCTACATAAGTTGTGCCTGTTTATCTGCAGCCTTCTCTTCTCTATATCCGTTCAAAGTTCAGAATTTATAAAGCTTGTCTGAAAGATCTTGTCTCTAAATATCACCCAAACCGTACTCTTCGCTCCTCGCAAGACCTCCTGCTCTCTAGCTCCCTTGTCTCCTCCTCCCATGCTCATCTCCAGGACTTTTCCAGAGCTTCCCCCATCCTCTGGAACTCTCTACCCCAATTTATCAGACTATCGCCTACTCTGCTCACTTTTAGGCGATCTCTGAAAACCTATCTCTTCAGGGAAGCCTATCCTGCCCTCAGCTAATAATGGAATCGTCTACTCTTCCAACCAGTCCATCCCTCACAGTTGCTACCTTTTGTACCACTAGCCCCTCCCTCCTAGATTGTAAGCTCCAAGGAGCAGGGCCCTCCTAACCCTCTTGTATTGAACTCTATTGTTGCTGTATTGTCTCCCATTATATTGTAAAGTGTTGAGCAAACTGCTAGCTCTATATAAATCCTGTATAATAATAATAATAATAAGTTCAGAGAAAAGCGGGTGGAGAGCTGAAGTTACACTCTGCAGAACTCAATGAGGAGAGCTCTTAGAGCTGATTGGGGGAAGGGACACACCTCCCTTCACACAGCATGAAGGAACAGAGTTGATGTCAATCAGCTGGAGCTCCCTCCCCTGTCACCATTTTTTTTTGGTGTCAGGAAAACTGGTCAGAAGTGATTCATGCTGACAGCAGGGGAACAAAGCAGCAGACAGAAATAACACTTAGTGCTCTGGATAGAGACAAGTACTCACTATAGAGGGATATGCTTTGTTCATATTTTATGTCTGAGGTTTACAAGCACTTTGACTTTTTGGGGTAAAGTTAAAGAAGTTGGCTAAAGAAAAAGTTTTCTTAAAGAATCATGGAAGCTGTTCTTGCTAACTTATAGCTAGACACCCCCATGTATTGGAAACCACAGTGCATTTTCCTGTGATGGGAACCACGTAGCTCTGTGTGGTTTCCCTGTGGCTGCAATTTTGGAAAAAGGAGCAAACTGTGCCTGTGCAAACAGGGCCACAGGGAACCTGTAATAGTGTGAACTCAGCCTAATGTATGAAAGTATTCATTCTTCCAATTTAATATGTGAAACTTTCTATTCTTCCAATATAATGTGTGAAAGTATCCATTCTTACAATACAATGTGTAAAGTGGAAAAGTATCCATCCTTCAATGTCTCCACATATGTGCCTATCAACACCGTGCTCTCCACCTATGGGAAAAAAAACGTAATGTAAGGACTACCCTCCAAATTATAGGTAGGTCTTTGTGCCACATATACCAATATATACATATTATAATCAAGTAGGCAGAATATTATACATCAATTGGGTGGAACTCTCTAGGAGGTTATGGTTAAATGGCTCCTATCCACATAATAGCATATTCCATCAGATATAGGCATCCCAGTCCTCCATCATATATATGTACTACTCAAATTGAACAGAAATTATATATAGTGACCTGTTGCAATAACAATATTAATTTATGTCATCACACTGTGCACCTCTGGCATTGAACTGACTGTTCACGTTGAGACCACCATTGGTCTCAGATAAAAAATGTTATATTACTCCTGCCAAACCTAAATCTACCAAATGTGAATATGTGTTGTGAGCTGCTGCTACCACTTAAATGTGTTCCCACATTGATCAAAAAATTGATCA